AGCCTCCTCGGAGGAGGTTCGTGCCGCGGTTCTTGCGCGTATCTCGTCCCTGATCAACGGGCAGGCGTTCAACGGCGTCATCCCATCCTTTGAATCTGCCGCTGGTGAGGCCCTGAGGCTTTCGCGCCACACGTATTCCCGGCACACGTTTTCATGGGCGTCCGCTACCGATGCCCGTATCTTCCGTGGTCTTTTTCCTATTTCGGTTCGCCTGCCTAACAACCGTGTCATGGAGGTCAAGGTTTTCACCGACCCCAACCCAGAGTTCACTATAGCCCGTACGAGAGGCGACACCGACCTGGTGCTTCGTAACGTGCCGCTAGGGTACTCCCCGGAGCAACTGCGCAACACGCTGCTGGCGGGCAGGACCGCGTCCGCTCTTCCCTGGCTCGCCAACCGCATGATGTTCCATCGTCTCAAGGACCCGTACGACGATTCTGCCTACTCACAATTGCTCGGCATCCTAGTCACGGCTGAGGGTGACGCTGGCTTTGAACGAATCCCCGCTGTCCTCTGGCTGCCCCAGCAGGAGGATCCCGTGCTGCTGAACATCTCCAGCCATTCCTGTACCGTGTGCACCAGTAACCATCGTGTTACTGACCACGCATGCTTTGCTCTCACCCGTCACGCACGGCTCCCCAACCGCCACACCATCACGGTGGCACAGCTCCAGACAGTCAATGGCAACTTTCTCAGTTTTTTGGCTCTGGTCTTTTTATTTGTTTGGTCAAACATTCTCTATCGGCTTGCACGACATCGCTCCCCTCCACTTTCTTTGCCACGAGGTGCGCTCGCGATTATGTGGCCTATTGGTCCGGGCCTCTGCCCCTTTTACGTTCCCCCCCCTTTCGCTCTCCTCCTGCCTCCTTGTCGGATCTTCCCTCCTTTCAGGGCGCTTGATCGGTCAGCACCCCGCTCCCGCGGCCTTCAAAAAGGACCCTGGCCTTCTGCTCATCGGCGTGGATCTCGATGTGGAGGTCTGGACATGCGCGCTATGCGACTTTGACTGTGGTTTGGCGATGGACAGCGCCATGTACCACCTGAACTCCGAGCTTCACCGCAAGCGTCTGCAGGAGTCGGCACACCTGCCTGCAGTCAAGGACAAGTATGCCGCGTAGAGGGTGTCCACCCTGCTGCAGCACCAGCGCATCACTGCCTTCCTGCAGTAGGATGGCTTCCTCTGGAACATTGGCAGACGTTCGGCACTCTCCTGTCCTCCCAGCTAGCCACTAGGCCTCAGAGCTCAATCCTTTGCTGTACCTCATTGCTGTATCCCTTGCAAAGGAATCGAACGGCGCTGGTAGGGCAGTGTACCCACGGCCTTCTTTCTCCCATATTCCCAACAACCGCCCTGTGGATGCACATGCTTCAGCATGTGAGGGCTCCAGTTATGTCTCCATGTTAATTCCCCTAACCATCAGATGTGTGAACGTAAACCGTATTAATAAACAACAAAAGATGCACGATTTACGTACTTGGTTGTCTGATTGTGACCGGAAAACAGATATTTTGATTCTTATTGATACACGCCTTACGCTGAACTTCCAGAGGCTTATATTGACTTTTAAACCGTCATCCTACGCACAGAATCCCCACCCCTTCACAGATAAATCTAAGCCTGGGGGTATTGCTATCCATATCTTAAAAAAAAACATTTCCATCTCTTCTATCGAACCTTCTCCTGATGGGAGACTCCTTGCCCTCCATGCTAACTTCTTACAGGAGCAATTTCGGATCATTGCTGCCTAATGCGCCTTCTACCCCGACCCTTCGGCGACAGTGGTGGCGTGCTATCTTTTCCCCTGCTCTTGACTCCCCGACGGCTTCAGCTGGTACTATTTTAGCGGGTGACTTGAACACAATTTGTGCGCCTGAAGATAGGAATCGGCCTCTGCTAGGACATGAGGTTTCGGAGGGCGCTATGCTATCCTCGATTCTTGACAATCATTCCCTTCTCGATTCCTTCCGCATACAGCACCCAACTGCTACGATGTTCTCCTTTTTCGCCATGCCCCGCAGCAATCAGGGCGACTCCCCTCCCTCTGGCTCAAGGCTCGATCGCATCTACGTCTCCTCCCCCTTTGACAAGCGCGTTCTAGACGCCTCGTACACCTTGGTGTCCAAAGACGTCTCGGATCATGAACTGTCCCCTTCGTGCACCTTGAAATGCGACAGCCTCAACGTCGCCCCCAGGCCTTGGCGGGTTGCGCAAGCCCTGCTTAAACGGCCGCAAATGGCTAACATTGTGGCCAGTTCCTGCCGCACGGTACCAGCGAGGGTGGCGGACGATTCTTGGGACCAATGGAAACTCTCGCTCGCTAACCAAATCAAGTCTTTTGTTGGCCAGGAAAAAATTCGCGTGCGGAAAACCGTGGCCCATCTCCAAAATCTCACTTGCCACCTTCTTATTCACCTTGCCATCAACCCGACAGATCTAGTGGCTAAAGAGCAGCTCCGAGTCGCCGTAACTCAATACGAACGGTATGAGGCGAGTCGGTCCGCCGAGCTGGCCATGAAGGCCAAACTTAAAGTCGAAGGTCCAAGGGAGATGGGGGTATCCTCCCTCCTGGTGGGCGTTAATAGACGAATCAAAGCCTCGCTTATCTCTTCCCTACAAACTCCTTCAGGCTCCCCCGCGTCCGATCTTCCGACAATGAGCAGGATCTGCACGGACTTCTTTCAGAAGCTCTATGGCGGCTCCCAATCGGTCCTGGTCGACCCATCCTTCTGGAATCTCATCCCCACATCTCAAATTCCCCCTGCCGCTTTCTCCCGCCTCTCCCTTCCTTTTTCCTTGGCAGAAATCTCTAAAGCCATTTCTTCTCTTCCCAAGGGCAAAACCCCAGGACCGGACGGGTTGCCCGACGAGCTGTTTAGGAAGTTCAGCCCGCAATTTGCCCCGATCCTTGACTCCCTTTTCAACGACTCCCACCACAAGCTTCCCCCGTCCATGTTACAGGGCCGCACCGTGTTAATTCCAAAGAAGGGAGATGCTACCATGGTAGACAATCCGCGCCCCATCACACTTATGAACACGGATTATAAAATCCTCGCCATCTGTCTGGCTAACAGACTCCAACCCCTCCTACCCTCTCTGATCCATCACTCCCAGTCCGCCTTCATTAAATCCCGCAGGATTGGCAACACATTGAACGACACCTTGGATATCTTTGACTGGGCCTCGGCCCAAGGACTCTCCCTTCTTGCGCTCACGGTTGACATCCGCAAGGCGTACGACCTTGTTGATAGAGAATTTCTCTTCTCGTGTCTTGCTCACCCCGGCCTCCCCCCCCTCTTTATCCATTGGGTGCGGCTAATGCACACAGGCACCTCTACACGGATTTCTGTCAACAACTTCTGCGGCCCTTCCATCCCGGTTCGCTCTGGAGTTCGACAGGGCTGTCCCCTTGCCCCGCTTCTATTCCTATGTGTCATAGAAGTCTTTCACCGTCATGCTTCCTGCTTCCTCCCTGGCTTTCCCATTTCCCGCACCCAGCGTCGCCTGATGGCATGCTATGCAGACGACATTACCATCTTTTTGAACTCTGATGTGGAACTACAGAAGGCCTCTCATGCTCTTCTTTCCTTTGCCTCGGTCTTAGGGGAATACCCGAACTGGTCCAAATGTTCCCTCATCCCTTTTAACTTCAGGTCAGACGACATCTTACACGCAGGAGACATCCCTATCCGCCAGCCTGCGGAGTTCGAGCGCATTCTAGGCATCTTTGTTGGAAGTTCCGGAGACACCAGCCGTACATGGGAGTGTGCCCTTGCCAAGGTCAAGGGCTCGGCGAACTTGCTGGCCAACCTTCACGCCACCGCCTCATGCCGCAAGAATCTGGCTTCTGAGCAACTTAACTCTGTCCTCACTTTCCCTGGCAGATTCCAGCCCCCACCCTCCCCCACCACCAAAGCTTTAGATGCCACGGTCGGCAACTTCCTCTCCTCCTCCAAATTCCGCTCTGCAGGCAGAACGACCCGGCTCCTAACACATGCAGTGATCTACAATAAGGTAGAGCACGGGGGGCTCGGTGCCATCAGGCCATCCGCCCAAATTAAGGCCCTCAATGCCCAACGTGCTCTCCGTCGGTTCTCCCCCCTCCCTGACTCCGCCGTTGCTAGGTCGTGTGTTCCACTTCCTTTCGGTTTGCACGGTTTTCTCCTGCATAAAGACTTCATATCCGCTCTCCCCCCTACGGTTCCGATCCGCTTACAGGAAGAAGTTCGTTGCTTGCTTCAACTCCCCCTGGACATCTCCCCCCCACGCCTCGAGTTCTGGTGCATTCTAGCAGAACCCGTCCCCTTCAACAGATTCATCCTGAACAAGGACGGCCGTCCTTTTGGCCGTCTGCAACACGAGTCTTTCCTCCTCACCAAGGAAGTCCGGGTGGGCAATCTAGTACGAAGGGAAGGCGGAGGTGCTAGACGGTTGACTAACCCTGAAATCATGGCACAATACCCGCCCAGTGAATATCCATGCAGCCGCAGAATTGTCAACGCGGTATACGACGCCATCCCGAGAGAATGGTGGGCTGCGCTCGCGTCCTCTCACAGCCTTGTTCCTTTCTACGCTGGTGACTGGGTTCTTATGGCGGCCGACATGTTTTCCCCGCCTCGGCAGGCGTTTGAGGTGGAGGAGACCCTTTCCAACGGCTCCTTCTATGCTAATTTGTTCGATGTTTCTTCTACAGGTCGCATTGGTACCCTCGCGGCGGAACGAAGGCAGCTATCCCCACATGACGTGGTCCACATTCACGTTCAGGATCGCTGGCTGTGCGGCTCCTTCTGCTCCGGAGCAGGTCTAGCGGCTCGCTTCCCTCTACTGGACGAGGGGATGCCCTCACTCGCTGCGACAGGAACCGACACACCCGTGGAAATGGGCTAATCTCCTTCCCAGCCCAGGCCCGACCCTCATTCCTGATTACACTCACTCCTTCCTCTCCTCACAGCCGTCATCCCAGCGGGATATTCTTTTCCGATTATACACATTGGCACTCCCGTCTGGCTCCAGGTTCAACTTCGCTCGGGATAGAGGTGTTTGTCCGGGCTGTGACCGTGGGGTAATGGAGTCTCTCCCACACCTCCTGTTCGAATGCGGCGTCGCGAAACCTATCACTGAGGCCCTACAACGTACGGCACGTGCACACTTGGGGATTCAAACATCTCCCGAGCTCTCACTGTTCCCGCTATCTTCCGCGGCTGGACAAGACGCCCCTTGGTGCTTGCTGGTTGGAGCAGCTGCCAAGGTTATTTGGAATGCAAGATGCAGCTTCCGCTTTAAGCAAGTCTCCACCAAAACGGTCGACGCTTTACACCAAGTGCTACACTTTTTCCTTCTAGCGTTCAAGATCTTCCTATGGCGTGCTTCTAAAGGATCCAAGAAAAGACAGAAACGAGCGGCCCATAAAGCGAGGCTTGCACAGCTACACCGACTTTTCATCTTCCCTGAACCAAACCAGCCGGTTATCCACCCGGAACTCCGAGCCACGTGGCTCCTCAACGACACTTTCCGCCCCCCCTGAAGATCTGTCTCCAGCTTTGCCACGTGCCACTGGATAACCATCTTACAGTAGATGGTCTCGTTTTTCATAGCGGGAGGAAGGCGTGTTCACACGTGCTCCCTACGGGGAGCTGGACTTAGGCTTGTTTCCTCATCCAGTTGTATATTTGTAAAAGGTTACGACCTAATAAAAACCTTTTTAACCCAACCAACCAACCCCCCTACAGGGCACGAAAAGTCAATAGGGTCAATCCAGCTGGGCGTGGTTTCTTTGTCAAGCTATAACGCCGCATCGTTTCTGTAATGAGCTACAAAGAAAGCATGTGCAGATAAAAAAACAAGAATTAGTGGCTACTATATGGCCCCACAAATAAGCGTATGCCAATGTTAAGCGCATGCGTATATATCTGGAGCAATGGGCTTATAGGTGATCCTCGATCATATGCGCACCCTCTGCAAAGCCCTGATTTATTACCGTATAAGCTATTGTATAATCATATTTTTAATGCTGATCAAAACGGTAGCAATTTTCAATTCAGAAGCGATTGTACATCCGTTTTCACTTTGTTTGACTCTCTCGAGTAAGGCCGAATCGTTCAGGAAAAGCGGAACGCCACAAAGCTGACTGACAACACATCTATATGGGGTGGGGGGGTTGGGAACGACCGTACGTGTGGGCTGCGAGTGAGCCAGGCCTCTTGATATCAGGGTAAATCACCCTTATGGCCCTTACTATAAGGGTGGGTTTAAGTGTTCACCCTGATTTTACAGAGTTGTATTTTAGGGCGCCCTTACAATAAAAAGTGAATTTTTGTATAACACTGATATTTTAGACCGACCTGGTGTACTCGCCCTGATGACATCGAGTAGTGTTGGGTACCACCCTGATGCAATTTTCTAGGGGGGTGGGGGGAGGGGTTGATTCACCGACGTGATTTCTGCCGCGATTAGCGGCGATTTGCTCGAGTCACCGGAATTGCGCGTCGCCAAGACCGCTCGCGTCGCCACAGCCACAGTCTCGCAACCTGTACCCGTACCACATGCATTTTGCATGCCTGGCAGTGACACACAGCGCCACACAGGTGTGCATCGTCCAGGGGAGTCCTACTTGGTGCCTTCCTCCCTCCCCACCAGACCCCCACCCACCGACCAGCCGCTCTCACCCAACCCCAACCCAGTCAGTTCATTTTATTCATCCAGTTTTCCTCCTCGTGGTCTCGTCTAGGGTTTGCAGACCACGCCTTCCTGCTGCTATCATAAGCATAGCTCCAGCATCTACCTCCAAGTCCCTCGTCATGGCTGTTCTCACCAGCGGTGAGGATGACGACGAGGCTCGTCGTCAGGTCCTGCACTCACCCTCATGAAAGGGCCTTAGTTTTTTAACAGTTCCTTCTAAGCAACTGCTTGAACCAGAGCCCGTCGTCACCAGGCCAAATTTTATCAGTGTAAATCACCCTGATACCCTGATAATCAGGGTGGTTTTTGATAGTCACACTGATGGGCTAGGGTAGTTTTTTTGGGTGATAGGTTTACCTTGATGTGCCAGAGTTTTTGTGTAAGGCACACTGATGCCTAATGGTTCTCGATTCCCGTAACGGGTTTTACCCTGTACCGAGAACCCTTCCCCCCCACACCCCCTAGTACACCCATCCCCCCTTTCCCGTAACCTGGGATTCCCGAGAGGCAAGTGTCGAAGCCGGAATTTCGGCCTTTACCACTCATCTGCTGGCACACAGTGGGCCACCATTGAGTGCAACGTTATAACAAATTGAACAGGAAATTTTTTACCGTACACTGATGCGACAGGGTAGATTTTTAGGAAACCACCTTTACCCTGATGTAAAAGAATTTTCACAAGGGGTCACACTGATAATCAGGATTTTGAGCAGATGGTACACTGATAATAAGGGTTGGTCAAATCCAAAAAATTAGCCTTGGTCGTCACCTCTATTGAGGCTGAGACCGCGCTGGCTGAAGCGGGGCGTGACGTGCACCACGACGTTTGAACCGACACCACGAAAAGCACAACATATGTAATGGAGAATACCGCAGCTGCTCACAAATATGCTGCCAAGAAGCTGAAACCTGGTTCGTGTTCGGCACGGCAGATGTGGCGGCAGCAACCTAAGTCGAGTTTCACTCGCGGGGCTGATGCATACGGTAGCAATGTTCAATGCTGGCAAGAAGCGCCGCCCTGCTCAAAAGTTCCTATACCATATGAACTTGTGCTCACTTCTAAGCTTATTCTGTTAGAACCAGGCACTGGTGCTTTAGTTGCTCTGTTAGTTAGTGCCATCTTTAATATGTAATCCACGCTTTTGTCTAAACATGAAAGGGTGAAAACAATGTGCACACTGATGAGCAAGAGTACCTTTCCACCTGACACTGATAAAGAAGACTGACATGGCTGACCCACCTTTACTGAAAGACCAACTTCAGCGAACTGGCCTTGCGAGTAAGGATGCCCCAAATCCTATCCAGAGGCCTGGAGCGAGCGATTGCGTGCGAGTGGCTCATATACTGGGGGCAGGGTGAGCTTGACTCATTCCTCTGCGAAGTGACGTGTCCTTGCCTTGAGCGCCGACAGAGAATCGCCATTGCGCGATTCTGATTTAGGGCAATCTAACATTTCGATTCAATTGAAATTGCAAGACTGAGATGCACAATTTGGTGACTTTAAAATATACGTCTGTATTTTCCATAATATAAGCACATGCGCCTATAAATGTTACTCAATGTTAAGCGCGCCCACCTATGAACACACCTTCTATAATAAAAAGAACTGCGCATATATCCAGGATGATACAGTAAATCATAAGCCGATACTGTCATCGCTCGGATATAAATCAGTGTCGCATTGTAGACATGGGTGTATTAGAGCAGGGTAGGTTCTTACAAAAGGGGGTCATAACTGTAGGAAACCTAAGTGTATATACAAGTTTAGACATATATGCCTTATAAACAATGGTTGCCTTCTAAACAAGGGGGTGCTTTATAAACGGTTTCTAGCAATAGCAAGGTTCAAGATGCGGAGATGTCTTCAGCAGCTAGACTAGGGGCTAGGCACGGGTGCTCGTGTGATCTCCGCGTTCGTTCGTTCCTTAGTCGTTTTCAAGTGCTTCACACTACGTGCTAGTTCACGAGAAGAACTGGCAAGAGTTTCACTAGGAAAGGTTGACAAGAATGATTTATACAACATTGGCAACACAGACTATATCAAACTGAGAATTCTAGTCGGTCGACTGCCAGCGTAGCACGGTCGACCGCGTGCCAGCACGACTTGGTTGACCGTGCTCAGTAGAGCAATGTCACGGCTTGCCAACTTTGCAAGTCCACGGAATGCCAACGCTGCAGCAAGTCGGCACCCGGAGGACAACAGTGCATCGGCTTCGCATGTGCCTGTAGTTGGTTGGTGCTCCACGCCTTGTCGCGAGCACAGCACAACCGCCTGGCAGACTCCACGCTATCGACTGCGCCCATCAGCCACGTCGACCTCGGAATACCACTTCCGAGGTCGGCCTCGCCACTAACACCTAGGTGACTATCGCATGCCTCCGCAGAAACCCGTCGCCCAAGTAACCTGGTCGACCGGGCAACCACCTTGCTGACCAGCTCCTCCTTGTGCTCGTCAACCTCCCAAGTCAACTACCACCTCCAGTCGACCATAATAGGTCAACTTCACTTTAAGTCGACCAGCTCCAGGTCGACAACACTCCTGGTCGGCCAGCACACCTGTCAGCCGACCACCCAAGTCGGCTTCCCAAGGTCGGCGTTGCCAACGGGAGTTGGGTGTGGCCTTGTTCTCGCTTGGGCAGAGCCGACCTCGTGGTCGGGTGTACAGGGGAGTGCAACTGACCTGCAGCAGTGGGCGAGCTGGTTGACGAGGAGGTCGATCTGCACGAGGGCCACTACAACGGACGCCAGTTTTTCGGCGCCTAGTTTGGAGTGGTCGACCAGAAGGTCGACCAAACCTGGTGGTCGACGAAGGCGGGGCCGACGTCGACCTTGGCAATGGAGGCTGGGGACGTCAAGCCGGAGGGCGTCAAGCAGCAGGACGCCGAGCAGCTGGGCGTCGACAAGTGGGGCGCCGGGGTGGAGGATGACGACCTTTGGTGACTGACGACTTGGCAAAGTCGGCGGCCTAGTCTTGACGTGGTCGACAAGGGGACGCCGACCAGAGAGGACGCCGACCTGGTTTCCCATTCGACAGGGATACCCGGGCGACATGTGCGAAGGTCGCCGGGGTGATTTCTGCGAGGCCGACCTCGAGGTTGGTATCCCGAGGTCGACGTGGCTGGTGGGCGCAGTCGCTGGCGTGGAGTCTGCTGGGCGTCTGCGCTGTGCCCGTGACAACGCGTGGAGCACCAACCATTTGCGTGCACCTGCGAAGCAGGTGCACTATTGTTCTGCGGATGCAACGCTGTGCAGCCGACTTGCTGCAGCGTTGGCGCACCGTGGACATGCAACGTTGGCAAGCCGCGACTTTGCTCTGCTGGAGCGCGGTCGACAAAGTCGTGTTGACATGCGGTCGACCGTGCTACGCTAGTAGTCGACCAGCAGCTTTGCTAGGTCTGATGTATTCTTGCATGCCAACTTTGTTCTCAACCTTTTCTAGTGAAACTCTTGCGGTATTGCCCCGTGAATGCACAAGTGCTAGAGAACAACTAAGGAACAAACGCAGAGATCACACAAGCACCCGTGCCTAGCCTGTAATCTAGCTCCCGTTGTAGTTGTTATCTCCGCAGGCGTCACCGAGTCGACGCTTCCGATGTCGACCTCGCCAGGTCGACCACCCGAAGTCGGCGCCCTTGCAGTGGCCCCTGTGCAGATCGACCAGTCCCGTCGTGCCCAACACAACGCCTGTCTACTTCTATAGCAGACACAGCCGGGAGACTTGATTCTACTAAAAATTTACATGTCGTGCTCAACAACTGTTTGGTTCTATAGCAGACACAGCCAGGAGGAATGATGGCAGTCCAGCCGCGCGTGTGCTGTCTCTTGCCGCTTGTGCTGGCTCTTGCCGCGTGTGCTGTCTCTTGCTGCGTGTGCTGTCTCTTGCCGCGTGTGCTGTCTCTTGCCGCGTGTGCTGTCTCTTGCCGCGTGTGCTGTCTCTTGCCGCGGTGCTGTCTCTTGCCGCGTGTGCTGTCTCTTGTCGCGTGTGCTGTCTCTTGCAGCGTGTGCTGTCTCTTGTCGCGTGTGCTGTCTCTTGCCGCGTGTGCTGTCTCTTGCCGCGTATGCTGTCTCTTGCCGCGCGTGCTGTCTCTTGCCGCGTATGCTGTCTCTTGCTGCGTGTGCTGTCTCTTGCCGCGTGTGCTGTCTCACACACCTACGACTATGCACCTGCTTCCCTTCTCACTGTTGCTCTCTCGCTCACTTGTGCGTTTCTGCCTCTTCCTTTCTGTCCAATTCACCCTTCCTTTCGCCACTCTCTCCCACAGAGGGAGGTGGACGGGCGCACATACTATGACTTTGAATTTGTGGCGCAGGCTTCGACCTACACTCGCCACGCTCTCGGCACCATCGCCATGGCCAACGGTACGTCAAGTGGCTACTGAAGCACCTCAAAATTCTCTCTCCCACAGAAAGAGACGGACGTGTTCAAGTACCACGCCTTTGAGTTTGTTGCGCAGGCATGGAGCTGCCCTCGCCACGCTCTCGGCACCATTGCCTTCGCCAACGGTGGGTGCTGCAGCAAGCTTGCTGCATGCGCAGTAGCAGGCGACCTCAGGGGCACAGAATATGGTAGGAGGGACTTGTGTTGGTTTTACAGTGCATCTGTGGGATGATAGTCACTCAAGAGTTCCAGCTTTTGAAGGCTACCGTATATGGACTGTGATCCTCTCCAGTCTTGTCCAGCACCCCTTGTGTGTGTGCTACCGTGCCGTATGGTTTCCTATGGCTGACTTCATGTCTGGATGTGCATGTGTGTGTGTGTGGTGGTGGAGCAGGCCAGTTCTACACGCTGACAACTGGGGCGAATGAGCGCCGCTGGAGCAAGGTCGATGAGAAGCTGCGCACAGTGGTGGCCTCGTTTTTCACTCTATAGACTTAGCTGGGATTCGTTGTCGTGTGTGTGCGTGTGCGCGTGTTGGGGGGAGCACGTTAGAATAAGACAACAAAAAGGTGTGTCTGGCGTTTGATGTGTGTTTGGAGCAGGGCGAATTTTTGGATTTGACCAACCCTTATTATCAGTGTACCATCTGCTCAAAATCCTGATTATCAGTGTGACCCCTTGTGAAAATTCTTTTACATCAGGGTAAAGGTGGTTTCCTAAAAATCTACCCTGTCGCATCAGTGTATGGTAAAAAATATCCTGTTCAATTTGTTATAACGTTGCACTCAATGGTGGCCCACTGTGTGCCAGCACATGAGTGGTAAAGGCCGAAATTCCGGCTTCGACACTTGCCTCTCGGGAATCCCAGGTTACGGGAAAGGGGGGATGGGTGTACTAGGGGGTGTGGGGGGGAAGGGTTCTCGGTACAGGGTAAAACCCGTTACGGGAATCGAGAACCATTAGGCATCAGTGTGCCTTACACAAAAACTCTGGCACATGTCAGAGTATTATAACTGATGCATGTTTGTAGGCTATAGTGGGGTAGCACATATGGGGTACAGCTTTCTAGGGTTGTATTTGTACCCAACTCTGACTTAGTCATTTCATTCCTGTTCTCTTATCCTTCACATGGTATAGAGCGGGTCCTTCCTAAGGACCGTTTTTTTTAGGGCCCACCGAAGCGCGCCCCGAGGCGCGCATTTTTTTTCGCGACCCTTCGGGTCGCCATTGCTCTCGCGGCCCCGCTGTCCCTCTGACGCGGCCCCGCCACCCCTGCTTGACGCGGCCCCGCCGCCTCCTCTGCAGCGGCTCCGCCGCCTCCTCTGACGCGGCCCCGCCGCCCGCTGATCGCGGCCCCGCCGCCGGCTCTGACGCGGCCCCGCCGCCCGCTGATCGCGGCCCGCCGCCGGCCCTGACGCGGCCCCGCCGCCGGCTCTTAGCCGGCCTCGCCGCCGGCTCCAACGCGGCCCCGCCGCCCGCCTCGACGAGGCCCCGCCGCCGGCTCTGACGCGGCCCCGCCGCCGCCTCCTGATTGCGGCCCCGCCCCGGCTCTCTCGCGGCCTCGCCGCCGGCCCTGACGCGGCCCCGCCCCGGCTCTCACGCGGCCCCGCCGCCGGCTCTCTTGCGGCCCCGCCGCCGGCTCTCTTGCGGCCCCGCCCCGGCTCTCTTACGGCCCCGCCGCCGGCCCTGACGCGGCCCCTGCCTTGGCTCTCAAGCAGCCCCGCCGCCGGCCCTCACGCGGCCCTGCCGCCGGCTCTGACGCGGCCCCGCCCCGGTTCTTTCACGCGGCCCTGCCGCCCCACCTGCAGCAGTCGGGCAGCCGTGCAGCCGAGCCGCCCGGGAGCCGAGCCACCCTGTCGCCGAGCCGCCCGGGAGCCGAGCCGCCCTGCCCCCGAGCCGCCCTGCCGCCGAGCCGCCCGGGAGCCGAGCCGCCCTGCCGCCGAGCCGCCCGGGAGCCGAGCCGCTGTGCACCCGAGCCGCCCGGTCGCCGAGCCGCCTTTCTGCAGAGCTGCGCGACCTGCCCTGCCTGGTGAGCACAGTCCCACTGCCACTGCGTGCTCTTCCCCTACTGCTTGCACTGCTTCGCTGTCGTCGCCATGGCTACCCCTAGTGTCCTAGCTTTTGACGCCGAGGGTCGCGCCATTGATTTTGAGGTCTGGTTAGACGACCTGCAGCTGTTCTTACAGTGCGACAGAGCAGACGGCCTTTCTCTCTTTGACCTCACCTCTGGCGCCTCTCCTGCTCCTGCTGCTGATGCTGATCCCACTGTCCGCTCTCAGTGGGCCACCCGCGATGCTGCTGCACGTCTTGCTGTGCGTCGCCACCTCCCTACCTCTGAGCGTGCGCACTTTAGTCAGTACAAGAGTGCTCACACCTTGTACGACGCTGTAGTTGCGCGCTACTCCTCCCCTGCCGCTGCTGCACTGAGCCGTCTCATGCTTCCCTACCTCTTTCCTGACCTCTCTGCCTTTCCCACTGTCGCTGACCTCATTACGCACCTCCGCACTAGTGACACTCGCTACCGCGCCGCCCTTCCTGCTGAGTTCTGCGCTAAGAACCCCCCCCCCCATGTACATCACTCTCTACTACGTAGTCGCGCGCCTCCCTGACTCCCTTCGCGTAGTCAGGGACCACTTTCTCGCAGTCTGTCCCACCACCCTCACCGTCGACGTCCTCGAGAAGGCCCTCCTCGCGGTGGAGAAGAGCATCGTCGCTGTAGGAGCTTCTCGTGGTGACCCTCGCACCCCCATCTTTGAGGGGTGCTCTCCTTCCCCCTTGCTGCCCTCTGTTGCCTCTGCTGCTGCTGCCGACCTGCTTGGTCTTGAGTCGGTCGGCGCGGCGTCTGCCCCTAGTGGGAGACGTCGCTCTAGCAAGGGCAAGGGGGGCAAGGGTGCGGGTGGAGCTGGAGGGGGCGGTGGCGGTGGCGGCGGTGGCGGCGGAGGGAGTGGGGGTGGCGGCGGGACTAGTGGCGGGGGTGGTGGTGGTGGTGGCAGCAGCGGCGGAGACGGTGGTGGTGGTGCCAGCGGTGGTGGTGGAGGCAACGGCGGAGGTGGAGGCGGCGGAGGTGGAGGCGGTGGAGGCGGCAGCGGAGGAGGCGGTGGTGGTGGAGGAGGTGGAGCTGGTCGGGGTGGTACCCAGCAGCGTAGCGGCGGTGGTGGTGGCCAGCGCTCGCAGCGGCAGCAGCAGCAGCGCTCGCGGGACATCCCTCCGCCTCAGCAGCTTCGTGAGTGGTACGCTGGGCGTCAGAGGGGTGGGGGTACTGGTCCCTGCACCTACGTTCTTCGTTCCGGCGACCGCGCGGGTGAGCAGTGTGGGGGTGCCCACGCCACCCAGCGCTGCTTTGGCCGCCTGACGGACGCTTGGCGTCAGCAGTTCCCTGGGGCTAGTGAGATCCCTCACTGGGATGAGCTTCTTAGGGCTGGTGTAGCGATCTTTGATCTTGATTTTGATGCTATCCTTGCTGCTATGTATGCTGTGACTTATAGTGAGGAGAATGAGGGTTACCGGTGTTTCCAGCCCGACCCGGGCATTGGTACTGCTGCGCTAGGTGCTTGTGAGGCTGCTGCTCTAGGTGCCAGTGCGTCTGCGCTCTCAGGTACTGGTGAGACTGCGCTCTCAGGTACTGCGTCGTCCTCGTCCTCCCTCACTTTCACACTTGACTCCGGGGCTTCTCGCTCCTTCTTTCGAGACCGCACTACCCTTACGCCGCTCGGCCGCCCGGTTGCAGTCTCCCTTGCTGATCCCTCTGGGGGTCCTGTCCTGTCTCACTTCTCCACTGTCCTCCCGTGTCCGGCGGCCCCTTCGGGCACCCTGTCTGGTCTGTACCTTCCCTCGTTCTCTACGAACTTGGTGAGTGGCGCGGACCTGCAGGATGTAGGGGTTCACCAGTTCACTCCTGCGAGTCAGCGGGTGACCCACTGCACGGAGGCACGCACAGGCCGACCATTGGCCACGTTCTCGCGTCGGCCGGGGTCGAGTCTCTACACCCTGACCGTTGAGTCTCCTCCTGTCCCTGCGTCTGGTCAGGTGGCTGCGTCAGGTCCGGTGCTTGCTGCTGCGTCCCGGTCAGGTCCTGAGTCTGCCCCCTGTTCTTGTCGCCTCCTGTCTCACGAGACTCTCCTGTGGCACCACCGTCTTGGCCACCCCTCCTTGCCCCGTCTTCGGAGCATGGCTTCCCGTGTCCTTGTCTCTGGTCTTCCCCAATCTCTCCCTCCTCTCCCCTCCGGGCCAGGACCTTCCTGTGTCCCCTGTGTCGAGGGTCGCCTCCGGGCTACTCCTCACTCCTCCCACTTCCCCCCGACAGAGGCTCCCCTGCAGACACTTCACATGGATGTGTGGGGCCCAGCCCCCGTCCGTGGGCAGGGTCACGAGCGCTACTTCCTGTTGGTGGTTGACGACTACTCGCGTTACACCACAGTCCTCCCCTTGCGCAGCAAGGGTGCGGTCACTGAGGTGCTGATCGCCTGGATCCGCGAGGCTCGTCTCCAGCTCAGGAAGAGCTTCGACTCGGACTTTCCTGTTCTGCGTCTGCACTCGGACAGAGGCGGAGAGTTTTCTTCTTGCCTTCTGCGAGACTACTGTCGTGCACGGGGGATCCGCCAGACCTTCACGCTTCCGGACTCACCACAGCAAATTGGGATTGCTGAGCACCGCATTGGCATGGTCATGGATGTCGCTCGTACGTCCATGATGCATGCGGCTGCCCCCCATTTTCTGTGGCCGTTTGCGGTGAGGTACGCGGCGCATCAGCTCAACCTTCACCCCCGGGTCTCTCGGCCTGCGATGTCCCCAGCCTTGCTGTGGACGGGGAAGGTTGGCGATGCGTCTGTGTTCCGTGTTTGGGGATCTCGGGCGTTTGTCCGCGACTTGTCTGCGGACAAGCTGTCCCCTCGTGCTGCTCCCTGTGTCTTCCTTGGCTTCCCCACTGACGCCCCAGGGTGGCAGTTTTACCACCCCTCCTCTCGTCGTGTTCTGTCCTCCCAGGACGTCACGTTCGACGAGTCGGTCCCCTTCTACCGTCTCTTCCCCTACCGCACTCCTTCCCTCCCCCCTCCCCCGGACTTCCTTGTGCCGGTTCCCCCCCCGGTAGACCCCCTCCCCCCTCAGGTTCCTGCCCCCCTCAGGTGTGTCCCAGGTAGACGCCGTTGACCCGGTCGAGGTTACTGGTGACTCTGGTGCTGCTGCGGGTGCTGAGCCTGGGGGTGCTGACTCTGGGGGTGCTGCGCGCGGGGGTGCTGAGCCTGGGGGTGCTACTGCTGGGGGTGCTCGGCCTGGGGGTGCTACTGCGGAGGGTGCGGAGCCTGGGGGTGCTGAGCCGGGGGGTGCTGTGCCTGGGGGTGCTGGGTCGGGAGCTGCTGAGCCTGGGGGTGCTGCGTCTGGAGCTGCTGAGCCTGGGGTTTCTCGTGCTGCTGCGTCTCGCCGGGAGCCCCTCTCTCCACAGGAGCTGCGCGAGTGGTTCGCTCGCCGCTGGAGGCGTGCTGCTGAGTCTGGAGGTGCTGCTGGAGCTGGAGCTGGAGCTTCTTCGACCGTCGAGGGTGCGGGTGCTGCCGGTCCCGGAGCTGCTGGACCTGCGGGTCCTCCTGGAGCTGGAGCTGCTGAGAGCGTTGGTGCTGAGCCTACTGCTGTTGGTCCTGCCGCTGGAGGTGTGGGTGGCGCTGGTGCTGTCGCTGAGGGTGCTGGTGCTGTCCCTGCTGAGTCTGGAGCTGCCGCGCGGCCTCGGCCGTACTTCGTTCTGCTCCTGCAGCAGGTTCTTGGTCTTTCTCCTCCAGTAGAGGGTCCACCGCCTGTCCAGTCGCAGTCCCTGCTGGAGCCTTCCTCTCCACTGCCTGCTCCCTCTCCTTACACTGGTCCTACTGGAGGTCTTGCTGAGCGTCGTGAGCCTGCGTCTCGTCCCGCGTCGCCTGTTCGTGCTGCTCGCGCTAGTGGTCGCAGTTCGCGTCAGCGTCCTCCTCCTGTCCCTGGCACGCACCGGATGTCTTTGCGTCCGTCCACTGCTCCTCTGCGTGCCCCTTTGCCTTCTCCTCCTGAGTCCTCTCTTCCTGCGCTTGCCGACCCTGAGTCGGACTCTCTTCGTGCTGCCAGTCCTACTGTCACGCGTCTGCTTGCTACTGTCGTCACTGACCCCTCTTTTGAGTCCACTGCTGCGTCTGCTCTAGTCGCTGAGCTCGTCGACTTTGCTGCTCGCTGTCGTCTCGACTACGCTGCTAGTCTTGTTGCTGAGTCTGCGTCTATCTGTCCTCCGTCCGTCGGGGGTGAGTGTGCTCTTGGCACGGACGTCCTAGAGGACAGGCAGGAGGAGTTACAGTGTCTAGCGGCTGCTTCACCTCATCTCGCGTCTGTACTGCTTGCCCTTGAGGGAGACCCGGATGCACTAGACATCCCGACTCCGCGTTCTTACGCGGAGGCCGTAGAGGGTCCCTACTCCTCTCAGTGGCAGGCAGCTATGGATGTAGAGATGGTTTCCTGGAAGTCCACAGGCACCTACGTTGACGCGGTTCCCCCTCCTGGGGCGAACATCGTCAGTGGCATGTGGATCTTCAGGGTGAAGCGGCCGCCGGGCTCTCCACCTGTCTTTAAGGCACGGTACGTTGCTCGTGGCTTCAGTCAGTGGCAGGGAGTTGACTACTTTCAGACCTTCTCTCCCACCCCGAAGATGACTACTCTTCGGGTGCTGCTGCACATAGCCGCTCAGCGCGACTACGAGCTTCACTCTCTCGACTTCAGCACTGCGTTTCTGCAGGGTAGCCTGCACGAGGAGATCTGGCTGCGCCGTCCGCCTGGCTTCACTGGGACTTTCCCTCCTGGCACCCAGTGGAGCCTCCAACGGCCAGTCTACGGTCTCCGCCAGGCACCGCGTGAGTGGCACGACACACTGAGGACTACGCTTGCGGCTCTTGGGTTTGCTCCTTCTACTGCTGACCCGTCGCTGTTTCTTCGCACCGACACTTCCCTGCCGCCGTTCTACATCCTCGTGTACGTCGACGACTTGGTCTTTGCCACAGCGGACACTGCTGGACTCGCCTACGTGAAGTCCGAGCTGCTGAAGAGACACACGTGCACTGACCTGAGTATTATAACTGATGCATGTTTGTAGGCTATAGTGGGGTAGCACATATGGGGTACAGCTTTCTAGGGTTGTATTTGTACCCAAATCTGACTTAGTCATTTCATTCCTGTTCTCTTATCCTTCACAGCACATCAGGGTAAACCTATCACCCAAAAAAACTACCCTAGCCCATCAGTGTGACTATCAAAAACCACCCTGATTATCAGGGTATCAGGGTGATTTACACTGATAAAATTTGGCCTGGTTTGGAGGCGTGGCTGTACGGTATGGTAGATAATCTATTTTGGTGTCGAGATTTAAGGTGACCCGATTACCTGCTTAACCAATTTGATGTTTTCAGTGTATTGTTCTCACATTAGACTAGCAGTAAAGATTTCAGTCAATACTGTATCCCTGGAGATCTTTGTAACATGTCAAACAAGCCCTGGCATGGTTTGTCTTTGTAAGAACCTGTATCTGTGGCTCGTGACGTGAGTCATGCTTGAATTCTTGTTATTTACAGTAGTACTACCCTGATAAGTATGGTATGAGGCATGCATTACCTTAGTTGGGCTGTGTTAATTTATCACATGAAATCAAAGCAAGCAATGTGCTATTCGCAAAGGAATAACTCCTCATTTGCGCTTTTTTACTGCACAACCACTTCTATACATGTTTCATAACCTTAAAATTTAAATGGCACACAAATAGACCTCGTTCCTACAGAACCAGAGCGAGACCTATCATTGTACTCGTAAAACTGTGTGATTGCGGTTGAGGTAGTTTTACCGTAGAAGCGGTAAGCCCTTGAGCATGGCATTGACGGCTGCACAGGCTTGGCCCTCCCCTTCTTGCACAACCCCATCGTGAACGACCAATACTCTGCTGTGAGGCAAATCTGGGATCATAAGATGCATGTGAAAGGAGGTTTATAAACCAATAAGGATTCCGAAGAAACAGAAATAAAACTAACAAGGGATGCACAGTGGATGCAATTTTTGAGGCGCCTAAAAAATGCACAGTAAGATGAGGCACATACTCTTGAGGAAACCCTGCAAAGCGCACCTACCGTTCATTGGTACACAGATTCCTTCCACCTGTTTATATATAACGGTTCCCCAGCCCCCACAATCCTCACCTGTACACCGATGTTGCTGCCGACAGCAGAGGCAGAGGAAGGGATGGTGGCGGAGCAAATGAGGCCGGGATTGTTGCGGTACAGAGTAGCCCATGCATTCTCACTAGCACTGGAACCCCCTGGTGAAGTGCTCGTTATTTGAAGCAGCCGCACGCACGTGTCTTGGGGTGTGAGCGTGCCGTATCTCACACACTCGGGTACGGTGAATGCGAAGGCAGCACTGCGCTCGAGGCACACGGAGCGGCCAGCTTTGATGGGATTGGAGCAGTCAAGGCCGGGGTTGAGTGCGGTGAGATCAGGTTCTGTGAAGTTGAGCTGTCTGCTGATGTACGCACAGGTGTCCCCCTAGACGGTTGGAGAGAGGCAGGGATAGAAATGCACAGATGACTGGAACTTGCTCACTGGTTTCGACAATGCTGCGATATGTTGAGCTGAGAAGGTGTATTGGTTGGATGTAAAATCTGGTGTGGTGGGCAAGAAAGCGGAGTAGAGCTGAGAAGGTGTATTGGTTGGATCTCACGTTGAGGGAGTAGAAGAAGGCTGTGCAGGGTGTGGCGGGAGTACCATCCACCTGAAGGACACTGTCCTTGGGCAATGGCTGGCTGCAATCAATGCCCTGCATTGGGGAACACGTGCATGGAAAGGGTTCTAAGAGATACGATATGCCAGGAGTATCTCTACCATGTTGGGAGGGAGTAAAGATGCGAGCGTGAAAGGAGGATATTGGAAACCAGGCCATACAATTGCGAACCAAGCTTATTCATGTGGGAACTCACGGGAGCCATGGAGATTGTAACGAGTCAAGTTACGTGAGCACCAAGTGATATGGAAAGCGCAATCCAAATGACAGATGATGGCCCATGACTCCCACCCCATCTTCACCCACAATGTTTTGGTCTGTGAAGTCAGTCAGTAAGAGGCCGACGAGGGGATGAACATCCGAGCACCACCAGTTGTCTCCACTGACTGTCATTGTGGTGGCCGTGGTGTTGGCTGCATGCAGAATGGGGAGTGAGAGAGACACAGGCAACGTAAAAGAGACAGTGATCTCTAAAGATCTGCAGAATTAGTGAGGAGATTAGAGAAAGGGAAAATGCCGGCCCCCTCAAACAAGCTGAGATTACCAGGCTTACTCACGAGCAAAGGAGAACTACAGACGTATTCAAGCCACCTACTTGGATCGCAGGTGGGGAAGCCGTCAATGGTGGTGCTGGGAACGTGGTTAGGAGGGCAGATGCAGGAGTAGGTGCCCTTGTCATCATTGATGCATGCTCCCACGTAGCAGGGGTTCTTGAAGTATGACCCACACAAGTCCACTGCCATACGTGCACCGGGGTGGGTGGCGGATAGTATGGAGCATTGATACAAATACGGTGTTCAGGATGATTAAAGGAGGGGGAAAAATGAGCATAGAAGAAAGGGTATACGGCTGTATACTCCCATCGAGCTAGACGGCAGCCAAACCTCTGGCCTCTGCAGCTAGGGGATCTCAAGCACTCAATAAACGTGGGTGGAAGTATGTACTATGTAGAACACAGGATTTCGAGAGGAGTCTTGTTTCTCACCTCATTGCCCTCACTCGCTAGCACTGCATAGATTTGAGAACTTTGCGTGCCAAAACAGCCAGACAAACATTCTTGCGAGACAGACGTACTTGCCCTTCTACCCTCCTGTTTGATTGCCAGAAAACTCACCATAAGCACATGTGTTGGAGCCGTATCCTTTCTCAACCTCCACAAAGGGCTGCACAGGAGTGGTCGGAATATTGCAGGAGCAGATGTTGGTGGTGTCTGTCGTCCCCTGGCACTGGAAGCGACCACACGGGTTCATGCTCGGCTGCGATTCCCCATCGCCCTTGTAGCTGCTCTGGCCGCAGGGGTCGCATGGAACTGGGAGGTGTGAAAGAGGTTTCACTTGAGGAACATGATAAAGGAGGTTGGTAGTTGACAGCTAACGAACAGCTAACAAACATGTTGACTACTATACGTTGTGCGGAAGTGTTTAAACTAGTACTACAAACTTAGAATTGGCAACACTTAACTTCACTTAATTTCCTAGTAATTCACTTTACTTTCTTGTGTCATGTTGCGATCATGCACATGTGCACGCTCGCAACAGTGCGCGGTACACACGCGTGCCCTGTGGGGCCACACGCGCGCGCCAGGACCCATGCATGGGTCATGAATTTTGCGCCATTGACCTGCGCGAGAAAGTCAACTGGCACCCCCTCGCCAGTCAACCCCGGTATACCACCCGCTCGCATGGAGCTCCAATTAGTCTCGCATGAGACATTTACGTCTCATGGGACTTTCATGGGCTCTCATATGAGCCTTTCATGAGAGCCTCATTTGAGCATTCATGCGAGCCTTATGTGAGTGCTTCATGAGAGCTTAATGGAAACAGTGAAAGCGCAATAAAAAAGGCATTAACACAAAATGCAATTACGAATGAAAACGAATCACACAGAATGCAAGGACAAATGCGCACAGAACACACAAAAAATATAAATGGAAATGCGCACACACGTAATGAAAATGCGACGCAGGCGGCTGGTTGACGTACAATGTTTTTTTATTTGCACCCAACAAAACAGCTAACAAGTACCACAGTGGCAAAACGTCACTCAGTGCACATGTAACAAGTACGGTGCCATGATTGACCACTAGTGGAAAAAAGATTCAGAATTTCAGCTTGCTTGTAGATCCCATATATGCCATGCGCTTTACGCCACTCTTTCCTGGTAATGAGGTGGATACGACAGAGTCAATATGACTCACTTTTGACAATGGGTTAGCTTACTCTTGACAATGGGGTAGATGCCAGGCAGCACGTTGATGCCACACACGCCATCCCCTCCCTGAATGTCCATGCGCATGTGACCCCTCTTTCCCCACTCCTCTCCCCACGAGTTGCGGATGATCCAAAAAGGAGGCGCAATGCGGTTCTGGCTGCCATCGTTTCTTGTGATGAAGTAGCCAATAACGAGTACAACATGGTTGAGATTGCTCGTGTAGCAACCAGGATCTTGATACTTGAACGTCTAAAACGAAATGGGGTCACAACATTCATAAATGGGGAGTTCAAGAAGCACGGTCATATGGGTATGAAGAAGCTGCGGAAGGGGTTGCATAATGAGGCACTGCAAAGGGATGGTAATTGGTCTATACCATTCGAACTCATAGCGGAATAGCACCAAACAATCCGTCATATAGGCAGTGACTTTCAACACAAGGACTGCACGACACGGTTTGCATGCAGGATAGTGAGTGAGACACATGGACCACAGACGACATGGCAGCATGGCAGGCATGCACCAAAGAAGGTGAGTGAGAGTTGCAGTGACTCACCCCATCATACAGCATGAAGGTTGGAGATGCCTCGATGTGAACCACCACTGGCTTCCGCTGCACTGCCAGCATGAGCCCCACATACCCCTTGAACTTCGCTCGCTCAAACGCTTGCACCGGGTACCTAGTTGCCTGGGGCCACAAATGGGCAGCATTGTTGCACGGGAAAAAGTGGGTTATGGGTGAGTATTGGGGGGCTTGAAAAAGGTTGTGAAACTAGAGAGTGGTACAACTGGTGCTCCTGGTGCACGACACACGACATATCTTCCACCATGGCAAATAAATGGCTCAATGAATCAGCAACCAATCTCTGGGCTCCAGGTACAAAAAAGAAAATCGTTTTTTTTTTTTTGATGTCAGAAAATTAGTGATTGGATGAGGTGATTCTGGTACTAGTTTTGAGCCCAAGAACGGGCAAGCGGGCAAAGTGATTCACCCTCCACAAAGCTCACACCTATAAACCTTACATGTCTCTATCCCATCTCACAATACATACATACCATACCACGTCCTCATTCTGCTGGACCTACCAAGTCGCTGGCCCCTGTGAGCCCACTGGAGGCATCGAGAACCACGAGCGTCTCAAAGGCCTGGGTGGGGGAGCCGCTAGCAGTGCACCTGTCGGAGTCGGAGAGCCCCATGAGGGCGAAGAGAGAGGGCACTGATAGCTGGGGAGCGCTCTGCTGCTTTGCAATGCCGTATGCCGCCTCCACACTCGCCACCACCGCACACGCCCAGCAAGCATCTGAGAGGAAGGCGAAGGTGAAGCAAGGTGAAGCGAGCAAGGATGGAGTGATGAAGATAGGCTGCACGTTTCATGTATATGGCTTACAAATTTATGTTAAGAGGGTAAAGTATAGATTTCCAGTTTCCTCACAATCCGAGTCAATTTTCATGATGTTGCGTTCCCATCCCCCCTTCTCCATTTAATCTCTCTTAATGTGCTGTACTTGACCCGTGAGCCTACTATTAGAAGATGCAGGTTCATAGACATCTGCTGTGTGAACGCAGTACATACTACAATGATCAGCGAAAAAATGGTTGTGAATAAGGATTGCCAGGATTCCTAGTAAGTTAGTTGTTGAAATCAATTAGTAAACAGCAACAGCGTAATGGATTGGAAAAGCTGCTTAGATTCTGAAGTGGACTTGCAAGTCTATTTCCACTCATTGTAGTCATTTTGGTTCTTGACAGGCCAGTTGAGGAAGGGCACGGAGTCCCACGTGTGGAAATCACGAATTCTCCACGAGTCCGCTTTGGTGGCCGACAGCTTGAAGTCCGCACTCACATAGCGCGAGAAGGGACTGGCTCGAGATGGTGCAAATGTGGACTCTGACAATGAGAGGTCGAGGGCTGTGAGGGGTGGGTGGGAAGGGGTGGAGATGAAGGGAGATGTGGATGGGTAGTGGTTGAAAGGCATGGCACGGTCTGGACGTACAACGTTACGGTCACTGAACCAATCTCCTTGCAAGCTCCAATGGACTGCAAAGAAGTTTAACATGTGAGAACTTGTATTGTTATTATTATTGTTGTTGTTATCATTATCATCATCATCGTCATCATCATCATCATCATCATTATCATCATCATCATCATCATTATTATTTGGGGGGTTCAGAACATATAAAAGGTTCTGGTTTCCACATGGCATGTAGCTCACCTTGCTCCTTGGTCTGCACGACCATGGTTGAAGGGGCGCCTGTTGAGAAAACCACAAGACAAAAGAGAAGGATAGGGAGTGTTGGTTGGACACAAGAGAGTGCTGGTTGGGTCTTGGATAGGGAGAAAGCACCACAAGAGTGGGTAGCAAAGGCAAGTTCATGCTGATTAGCTACCACTAGCGCGACAAATGTCTAGCCATGGCAGGAGACATCATCATCAGTGCCCAGCAAGGACTCATTAAAAAACCATTACATAGTGTATTGTTCATCAGAAATGAGCCAAGGCTTGAACCCAAATTGGCTCGAAATGAATCGAGTTGAGCCAGCGGGTTGGTTGAACCCAAACTGGTTTAAGTCAAACCAGATGATTTGGCCGAATTCTTATTCTTGCCTATTTCTCATCATAAACCATTGCCATCACTACAATTCACCACCACCACCCTGAATCTATCATCAACGCAGTCAGCATCACCCCACTTGCCCAAAATAGAGGCCTTGTCTGTTTGCACAGAGGAGGAGAAGATGCCATGCAGCTGGAAGGGCTTCACAGTGGTGGACGCTGTAAACCCAAACGAGAACGCCGCCTGCTGCTGCGTCACCCGCGGCTGAAGCATTGCACACAGCGATACACCCTTCTGCAGCAGCAGCGGCTCCTCTGGCTTCTCGTGTGAGCTCGCCAGGAACACTCGAAAGGTGCCGGGATCCCCAAGCTCATAATCCACCCATGCCGTGTATGCATCTCCATTGGTGAACATAACCGGTGATACCTTTGACACCAGGGGTTCCTTCCTACCATTCATGTTCAGCCCTACGTGCTGGTGACTCTCTTCAATATCAAATGTAACGGCTATGCTCTGAGCTCCGATCCCGCTATACCCCACACCACCAGGTTTCCCTGCCTTGGCAGTTGCGGCAATCACAAATGCAAAGCCGCTGGGGCCGGTGGTACCAGAGTGGGGCAAGAGAGCGAAGGTGAAGCTGACATTGAAAGCCAACTCCAAGCCACATCTTGAGGTCACACCGGGCGGGTAGATTAATAGGGTCACAGGCTTTTCGGCAAACTTCCCCACTGTTTCGTGCTGCGCGCCCTTGGTGAGAACCGTGAATGGTGGGAGAATTCTCCTTGAGGTGGCTGGAGAGTTGCGAGGGAAGGGCGGCAGTGCATGGGGAAGGGGAAGGGTGGGAGTGAATGGGAGGAGAGCACCGGAATGTGTATGTGTTGCGTTGTGCAAACTGGATCATATGGTCAAACCATGTGGAAGTGACGTCCGTAGATATGGGTCTGTGCCTTGTCTATGGTAATTTTAGTGTGCATGATCAACCTTCGGTAGGTGCAGAGCTAGAAAGGAGAGGAAATGGATAGAAAGTGCATCACTTAGGAGCACCAAGACGACGACGTCCTTAGACTCAGTGCCTTATTCTTCTTCTGAAAGCAAGGTACAATCGCTGCTCATTAACTGAGAATGGGACACAGCGGAGTAATCCAAACTACTCGGACCGCGCACCACACAGGCACGTGGGAACCAAACTTGGCCCGTCTGGGTAGCACACGTCATGACCACCACAGGCAGCAGTGGTTGGAGAGACGCCACAAAAAGCCAGAGACTGCGCTGGTGGCCACTGTAGTTGACCACAGGCCTTTTCTTGTGTGAAGCAGTTGGCTACGATGTGTGTATGCTGCAGTTGGCTTCAGAACGTCGCATCACACCCGACAGGTAGTTGTTGGAGAGGTCTGCTTTGATGCCCGAGAGTTTTATGAGGGGACCTGTGAGATAGTTGCGAGAGAGATCGCTGCAGGGGATAGGGAATAGAGAAATGGAGGTGTTTTTTTCAAAAAGATTTGGATGAAAAAAAAAAAAGATAGTAGGAGAGAATAGAAGAGAAGTCAATGGAGAGCGAGCAAGGGTTTGGACTGGCATCGAGAGGAGGAAAATGACAGAGAGGAGAGAAGAAGCTAGAATATAGCATTTAAAGATGATTTCTGTATCCGGTTAGTCAACTCGTAGTTTTGTGGGTTGGATGTTTCACGAGTATCCCAACCCTGCCCAGATGTAATCAGGCAAAATCTCCAACCCTCCAATTGAAAAAATTGATGACGCCCCCATTGAAATGAAATCTTGAGGACCTGATCATCGAATTGAACCATGAGCTGTTCAGGCTGGTAGGCATGGACCAAAGTGGATGGGGTCGACTAAACCGCCTGTTCATCCAGGTTCCACCAGAACCAGACCATGTTTGTTGCCTAGTTATAAAGGTTTTATAGACTTGCAAGGTTGAAGATCTTTATTGCAGGGAGGATTGAGGCAGTGAGGTGATGAATCCATCCATGCACGACCTTAGCATACCAATAAGGAACAATCCGTAGGTAGCGAAACACAACGTTCTGGGAAACGTGAAAATGTCACAATTTGAATTGGCGGACGCGAATCAAAGATGGTCTATCTGGGCCAAAGATGGATTTTCCAACCACAAATAGGGTTGACTGACCCTAGATAGGCAACCAAAATAAGGTTGGTTGCGTAACTCTACCCAAGCTACGTGCTGAAAAACGCAAGCGCAAAGTGGAGCATCAATGGGAGTGGAAAAGGTTGAAGGGAGGGGCGGAATGGGGAACACAGCACACACAGCCAAGCAAAGGGGCTTACAGGAATGTCAGGTTCCTAAGGTTGCCAATTGTGATGGGAATTGTGCCAGTGAGCTGATTGCCAGAAAGGGATCTGCACGAGATTCATGTCGTGAGTAGCGGCAAAACTAGATCTTGTAGGGGTGTGAAGTATTGACAGCGTTGAGGATTGATGAGTTGGCAATAGATTACATTAGACGTGGGCAGCTCATTGAAAACAGAGGGGTTTGGTTGGGATCTTCAACATTATTGCTCCCCCCCAATAAGTTGAGGTAAAAAAATTAGGGCAGGGTTCAGACAATATCAACTAACAATGAGCCAAGAGTTTTTAGGACTTCATTTATTTTCAAACCCAGCCTTGGGGGTCTATTCGGGCCAAAGGTGGATATCCAACCACACATAGGGTTGACTGACCCTAGATAGGCACCCAGACAAAGGTTGCGTGCGTAACTCTACCCAAGCTTTGTGCAGTAAAAAGCAAAATGCAAAGTGGGGCGTCAACTAGAGTGGAAAAGGTTGGAGGGAGGGGCAGAACGGGGAGCACAGCCCAAGCAAAGCGGCTTACAGGGATGTTAGGTTTCTAAGGTTGCCGATTGCGGTGGGAATTGTGCGAGTGAGCTGATTGCCAGAAAGGAATCTGCACAGATTAACATGAAGGCCAAGCGTTAAGTAGAAACAATGATCTCAACTTGGTGGGAAAACTACCAGCAGATTAGAGAAAGCAAACACCATTATTCGGAGGTGGAATTTATGAAATTTGGAACAGGGGCATGAAAGGCAATGCAACGAACATTGTTTCCGAGATGTGTGCAGAATAGCAGGAGATAGATGGGGTTAGGAGAGTGAAGGAAGATGTGTTGTTGTCTTGCACCAGGGAATGTATTCACTGTACAGAATAAGCATGGAAAAGAGCATGAGAGTGTTAGGGTTCATTCGTGAGATCGTGGAGAACACGATAAGCAATAGCTAGTAGACTATTGCCGACTCTTTTTTTTTTTTTTTTAATCCCAAGAGAGAGAGAGTGGGGGAGAGAGTGAGAGAAAGGCAGAAACAAGGTAGGAACAACAGGTAAAGCAAGGAATGAGGGGGATGGAACAGATCATGGCACTTTACCCGGACGGGTCGAGTAACCCGACCCGACCTGACTTTTTAGTCAGGCCTGGTTCTTACATTCGAAATGACTACCCGCACGGGTGGGGTAGTGTATACTCTCTCCAGTGTTTTATTGCCCGTTACTCGACCCAGTTGTCCAATGTCGGGTATGTGAAACCCGACAAATGTAATCCTAAAGCAGGTTTAGAAATCTACATAATATTTACAGAACATAATCAATAACGGGTATATTCGACCTGACCTCGGGCTCTAAATACCCGAGGGCCAAGGTTTACAGATTGGGTTGGGTATACACCCTTTACCTTGTTGGTGTTAGCCCTCAATCTTACATTTTGTACTTGTACTTTTATATCCTAGCTTAGTGTAGTTTGCACTTTGTGTTTGGTTGGGTGTACACCCACATCCCAACCAAACCCAAATGTAATCTCCAAGCAATCTCCAACCCACCAATTGGAGATTGCCTTGGGATTACCCTTGATTCCCTAGGATTGCCCCCCTGATTCCCTCCTCATCCATACCTTGCTCATTTCTGACGTACTTAAAGAGCTTTGAGCTCACTACTAATGTATTAGTTCTAAGCCTAAGTTCTGACATACCTAATTACCCGAGGTCAGGTACACCCGACCCGACCCGACCCTGCCCTCGGGTAACCCCAAACGGGTCGAGTTGGGTCGGGTCGGGCCAATGCCCATGCCTAGTGGGATATAACGATAGGAAAAGCAAGGAATGAGGGGGACGGGACAGATCATGTGAGGTGGGATATGACAATACGAAAAGAGGGACACGAGAAGTATGCAAAGGTTTTGAGGTTAAAGGACTGAAAAGGACGACAGGTTAGAGTGCGAACGGGGAATCAACAAGAACGGAAGTATGAAAAAATACAGAGGGAGAAGGGTACGGTAAGCTGCATTAGATCAAACCAAGCCCCTTCATGTTTCAAGCTGAGGGCTTTAACGTTGAGTCATGAGTGTTCAGGCTGGTTCAGCCCGAACCAAGGAGGTTGTTCGGTTGCACCAGCCGGTTTGACCAGGTTCGGCTCAAACCCATTCATTTATGGTGCTTGCTCGTGTCTATTTACAGCAGCTTGAGGTTTCTGAGGTTGCCAATTGCAGTAGGGATTGAGCCAGTGAGCTGATTGGCAGAAAGGCCTCTGCCAACATGAACATAGGTGGGCATGTGGTAGATAGATGCAGAGAGGTCAAGTTTGCATGGAAATGAGAAGCAGATAAAAGCAACTCCTTCAGCAGCGGAAATCTGAACAACTGCAACAGAGGCATGAAAGGAAACGCAGAGGACATTGTTCAGAATAGCAGGAGATAGGTTGCCAATTGAAGGGAGATGTGTTGTTTTCTTGCACCAGGGCATGTATTCCGTGTACAGAATGGGCATGGAAGAGAGCATGAGAGAGGGGGAGAGAGTAAGAGAGAGGGAGAAACTAGGTAGGAGCAATAGGAAAAGCAAGGGATGAGGGGGACGGGACAGATAATGTGAGGTGGGATATGACGATAGGAAAAGTGGGATACGAGAAGTGTGCGAAGGTTTGAGGTTGAAGGACTGGAAAGGACAACAGGTTAGAGTGCGAATGGGAAAGCAACAAGAAGGGTTGTATGAATCAAGTACGGGGGGGAAGTGTAAAAATGTCAGGCCTACGTTTCTCGAATACATTGCTGTTTATATACTTCAGGCAACCCTTGCTTCAACTGGTTTGACCCAAACTGCAGCAAATCAAACCAAGATCCTTCATGTTTAAAGCTGAGGGCCTAAACGTTTAGTTGTAAGGTTGCTCAGGCTGGTTCAACCCGAACTAAGTGATAGAAGGCATGAGAATCTAGAAAGTGCAGTAAAATATTCTGTCCGCCGACTTTGACGGAGCATTGTGTACAACTTATGTAACTTTATACATCGATCATATATGTGTTAGAACGGTTTTGATATTTACTATCTGAAATTATAAAGCACACTTCCAATAAGAATCTAGGCCACTCACTATCGCGATTTGAGTGTTGCGTGGTATCCTGA